TTTAAACAGAATGTGCATATGAAAAATATCTCGCCAAATCAAAAATCCAAATCATAGAGCAGCTATGACAAAACAAAACTCAGAATAAGTGCTCATACCCTTCTAATCGAAAGGGGCAGATATTTTAGCGGAGGACCGAATTTGCCCAGTTTGTGACAAACAGGAAATTGAAAACAAAAACATTTTCTTCTCAATTGTAATTTATACAAGAAGGAACGAGAAACCATGATCAACAATATTAAATACAATATAAGCAACTTGGGGACGGATGACGAAAAACTTACAAATATACTAAAAAGTAAAAATGACAAAACAATCATTGAACTAGGAAAATTCATCCACACTTGTTTCAAATTTCGACAAGAAAAAATCTTAAAATGCCAGATGCCTCAACCACCAAATAATTTTTTTTTTTTCTTCTTTTCAATTGTCTTGTTTTTGTTTTTTTTTTACTATTTTTTTGTATTACCTCATTGCATTTTCAACTAAGATCCCACTCCGGGATACGGTTTCAATAAAGATTATTATTATTATTATTTATTACAATATGGGCATCCCCGACATGATTACAATTATTTGAACAGACAAGGGGGTGTATAAATAAATAAATATTTTTAAATTACTCACCAATCGAGTGTACATCTAATATTGGTTCAACACTCCACACCAATGTCATTCCGTCGAACTTTGTCATTAGTTCATCATGACCCAGAATACGCGGGTGGCCCTCTACAGGCCATGTAGAAACTTGCACGCTATTCCTTGGGTCATGGACATCCCTAGCCACGCTGTCTGTTACTTCAAAACTTGAGACTCTCTCTTTAATATCATCAAGCAAGTCAGTCACTTGATCGTTTTCCCAATATGACATGACGGTGGTTATGTCGGATTGTAAGTATCGCACGGTAACTTTGACACCTAAGCAAACATAAGCACTTTTAGATGATTTCATTTTCGATTTAAAGCGGGGGAGTGCACCTTCGCATACGTTAGACGACCATAGCGTGTCATTGTTTGCAAACAAGCGTCTACCCATGAGCCTTTGCGTTTTTATCATCGCTTGGGACTCAATTGTTGCGTGTGCGCAGGTGACGACCCTCCCGCTTTAAGAACAGAAAGCAGATAACATGGATATTTTCTGTTACAATACTTACACATACGTCATGAGTGTGTTAAAGTATGGTAAACGTAAGTGCCTTGATCATTTGTGTTGCTCTAAAACAAGTATAACATCCGAAAATTCATTGTCTTCATTGCAACGTTTGGGGTATCTTAACGTAGCTCCGACTGTGAGAATATGTCATGATGGGGTAGGCAGATACAAATACATGCGTGTATGTCATGGTAAGATCATATGACATCATGCTAAGTGTAGCAAACACACACATACGAATACGAACAAACAAAATGGCGCCGCACAATTTTGCGCTCGCCATTAAAGGGCGGCAGTCGTCGCGCCGCGTCCTCTTCGATATGAGACTCATAGCGACGTATACAAGGCGTGTAAAATACATTGTTTATTTACATGAAATTCGAGCATGCGCTGCGTGACGACTACCGCACTTTAACCTTTTCACGACCAGACTTACTTGCCCAAATTTGTCTGCACTTTGTTTCTTATATTCTTCAATATTTCTGGAAATGAACCTCAATTTTGAAGCCAACAGACAAAAATGTATTCAATTTTCATTTTTTTCATCTTTTTTTCCAATCTTAAAAAGGAAAATGCAGACTGTAAAAGGAACTATTTAAGGTTTCCTTCAAATACTCAGGGTTTTGACTTGTTCAACATTTTAAAGGGCGGCAGTCGTTGCGCTGCGCATGTGTCGATAACTATTCATTTTTCCACATTCCAATGCGCTTTTCTAATGCAAATCACAAGTATAGAGTTTGACCTGGCCATGGCTTCAAGTTGCACTAATTACCGCCGGTGACTCTTTGGATACTTTCCAATCACCTAAAAAATCTATTTAAATCTTGGTTACGTCTCAGTTTGTTAATCTTCACAAAAGTCAAAGTCGCCATCTTTGTTTATATGAGACCCATATATCTCGCACATGCGTGGTGCGAGACTACCGCCCTTTAAAACTCCTCAGTCGTCGTATACCGTATGAGTTATACGCGACGTATAGGCGTATACAATACCTTGCTTGGCGCTGCAATGCGAACGTGTTGCTTTAAACATAGGATTGATAGGAAAACATACTACTTACGATTTCCTCGTTCTTTTTCCCTCTTTGTCAAAACACGAAATAGTAACGTCTGATCTTTAAAGTCCGATAAACACCTTGTGGGATCAACAGGTTGCACGTTTCCGTCGCTATGTGATTGCAGTATTTGAATTTCATTGCCCGGTGTGTCCAACAAGACAGCGTCACTCTTCGATAGCTTGAATCTCTCTACCTCTTTTATAATCAAATCGCCCAGATCAAAAACTTTAGCATCCAGATTACAAGAGATGCGCACAGGGTTGATGGATGTGTGATACTTAATCAGGATATCGTCATCTATAAAATATGGGAGATGTAAACTAAACAAATGAAACAAAACAAATCCTGACGATTTTTAGGGAATAAATTATATCATTTTATTAAAGCGGGGGAGTCGTCACCTGCGCATGCGTCAGATGGCCCTAGCGTGTCATTGTTTACAAATACAAACAAGCGTCTACCTATGAGCCTTTGCGTTTTTAGCGTGTGTTATTTTCGTCGCCTGGGACTCAATTCCCGCGCGTGCGCAGGTGACGACCCTCCCACAATTTGTCGTTGGTTTTATGGTTCTTGCTTTCAATGGACCATAGACATAAATGGTCGTCGAGAGCGAGAAAAGCACGAGATTTTGTGTCGCCCCTCAAATAGTGTACCGTTCTCATCCGTCGCCGTGTCTACTGTTTTTCCTAATCCATGAAACCATTGTATTTGGAACACACAATAGTCAGTGTACCATTTAAACTAGTTTTGTCCTAGTCAGTGGGTAAACCCATCTATTTTAAAATTGAACAATGACAATGGCGCTTTATTTTTGGCAATTTATCCCGATAAATGTGTTCTAGTTTTTTGAATAAATCCCTAAAAGTATTACTATTGCACAGATCTGATTTGTGAACTGTGTAACCTGTAAAGGATTTTGATCAAAACTGAACAAACAATCACATGCTTGTCCGTGAACTCCCGTTTTAAAAAAAATAATTGAAGAATGTTTTCAGAGATAATGCATAGTCGTTGGTCAACGATAAATGATTTGATCATACTTGCTAACAGCTTACTTGCTAGAAGCACAAAGTAGCACTGACTTGACCAAAAGGTAAACAGCCTGTTTGCTAGTTCCAATGTTTGTATTCCATTATCTATTGTGAATATTTCGAATAGCATAAACATTTATAGAACCTATCTGAAAGTAGTTTCCGAGTTCGCTTAGAGCAGAAGAGCGATTTATTCACCCCCTCCAAAAAATAACGTTCTTCAGTGTCATCGCATGCACTGTTTACCTAGCCTATGTAACCAAGTTTTATAAAACAGTGAATGCGATGGCGGGTGGTAGGAATTAGATATATTTCGGGGCAAAACAAGTCACGTGACTCCCTGGCGCTCAACGTTATTCATTTCGGCGGCCATTTCCGAAAACGGCCTCTCCAGCGAGTTGTTAGTGAATGGTGTCTTAATGAGTCACGTGGTGACGCTAAGTATAATGGAAATTTGGTAGTTGCAGCAGCTAGCTCGCACCATGGAGGTAGAAAAGAGATTCTACCTCCATGCTCGCACCAAGTAGCATAGACAATAACACCAAATACATGGACATGTCATAAGGGCAATACCACTATATACTTACAAATAACAGGGTGGTTATCAAATTCAATTTCAAGTTCCCCAACACAGGTAATATCCTGGTTGAGCTCCAATCGCTGCTTGCCGTCCTTACACACAAGGAACAAATCTAGGTCATCCAATCGCACGTCCTGGCTCTCGAGTCCAAACAAATCAGCATTCTGTTTAAGCCTCTTTGCAAGTTCCATAACTGTTTCCGATGTGTGGCATTGTATCGGTAAAGCGTTTTTCCCGCCGTGTGCGTATCGGACTTTGACGACGACTTTGTCATTCACCGGTGCCGTAGGTGTTCCTGTAGTCGCCGAGAATAGACTAGATAACATTGTAAATATCGGGGGCCTGTGTCGTGTTGAAATTATGTTGTCGTTGCAGTATCCGAGGAAATGTACCGTCGCCTGTCGGTGAGATTTTTTCCCAAAACAACTACTTAACTAGGACATAGTCGGTTAGTGACCCGAGTTTCCGTGTTTATTTGCACACGCGCAGTAAGTTGGCCAATCTTTATGGACGCTGTGCTACGTACGGTTAGAGTTCAACAAGACTGGTCTTAAAGCAGGGGGGTCGTCGCCTGCGCATGCGTCAGATGTCATAGCGGGTCATTGTTTACAAACAAGCGTCTACCCATAAGCATCATTTGCGTTTTTAGCGTGTGTTGTTATCGTCGCCTGGAACTCAATTCCCGGGCGTGCGCAGGTGACGGACCCCCCCCCCCCCCGCTTAAAATTTCAAGTTTGAGCGGAAATACTTTTTCTAGTCTGACGAAAAACTAACTGATTTTTAGGTTTCTTTTTTTAATATTCTGACGTTTACTTGGTCGTATTTTGTATATACCAGTCAGACACTAACAACAAGTAAGTAAACAGGCCTGGACATAGTCAACATTTATAAATATTTTTTAGCAGTATTTGTGTTAGGCATGTACCTATGTACGTCATAGCTTTGAAAAGTACCCGGATGTTAAATATGTTCGTTCGTTATTTATTCCCCTCCATGAATGGCCTCCATGGTGTTTAATTGCAAGCACTTCAAATGCCTATCCAAGCTGCAGTTATAATTAAAACAAAATTAAACCACTGCAATATTATTTCGAATACAGTTTAGAATATACACAACTATAAATTAAGGCCGCATTTAGGTTCGCTTTAAGGAAAAAAATGGCACACGGAAAACCATTGGGTAAGCCATGGTTGTCTAGTGGTATTCTGAAATAGGTAAAAACAAAACATAAACTTTATCCAAAAATGTGCAAATATCCAGGAAAAGAAAATTTTAAAAGCAAATATAGACATTGTCGCAATATGCTAACTACTGTCATCAGAAAGGCTAAAAAATGTATTACTACAAGCGTTTTTTTAGAAAACAGGGGAAACATCAGCAAAACGTGGCAATCTATTAATGAAGTTGTGAACAAAAATTGTAACATTCTCAAAACCCCCGGAAATTGAGAAGTCAATTAGAAGGAAATATTGGAAATTGCGCAACTACAGACAAGGAAATAGCTAATGAATTTAATACTTTTTTCACAAAAATAGGGCCTAAACTTGCAGCACAAATAAAT